TTGATGAGTTGATGAGATGATGAGTTGATGAGTTGATGAGTTGATGAGATGATGAGCTAGTTGATGAGTTGATAATCAATGTCAAGGTTTTTCACATGTCCTGATATTTTTACCATGAATTATGTTGGTGTTCTATGGTGTCAGGAAATTACAAACTCAATGTTGCATGTTAAACAGCAAATTAGTTTTGGCATGCCAATTAGGATGCATTACCTCTTTTTTTATTTTAACAATTTTGTCTTTTTCCGACTTCCATCAAGGGACTGTTAGTGTTAGTGTTGTGTATAATTTTAAGTGATCGACTCTTAAAGTCGAGAGAGGCATGTCTGATTCAAACGGTGCCTATTGAACTGAATCAAGAATATGGAGAATATCGTCGTTTTATAGCATGCACAATGGTAGAAATCCAAAATTGTACGTACGTACTATGTCCAAAGAACGTATGGATAAATAGATATATACAATATATAATAAAAGCGTAAGCTAATCGGATGAAGAAGCAGGGTTAAGAGGATGTTAAGAGGATTATAAAAGGAAAAGGGAGAGTTTATACAACAGAACATTGGTATATGTAATTATTAGAGATTAACACCAATCTATATTCTATATTACCTCGGGTATATATCTTTGCCTGGATACCAAGTTTTTTTCTACTCACAATAGATCTTTCAACCCAAATCAATATCATTCTCGTCAAAATTTGAGACAAATCGGTCAACAAACAAACAGGCCTTATATTTACATATCCTATTCACAACGGTACCTTCAAAGTCTTTGTATGATAAAGAAATGAGATATCCGAATTATCATAATATGCAGATGTCGTTATTTAATTATGTTTATATTGTTTCTTTTCGATTATTCTGCCAATATTGTTTTTCGTTGCCAAACCCCCCCCCACCCCAGGCTATACATAGATTCAGACCCACCAGCCTTTATAGGGTTAAGTAAGAAAAAAATTATCTTCCACATTCCTGATCAGATTAAGGATTCAAGGGTACCGTTGTCAATATGGAAAAACCGCTCTTTAAATGGGGTTCAGTTGGAATTATACAACCAATGTCCTTTAAACTGAATTAATTCTTTATTTTTTTTGTTCCTGTTTCTGAATAATATTCTAATATTTGAACATTTCCCTCCAGTCTCTAGAGACCCAAAACATTCAATACAAAAACAGGTTTTGAAGATTTTTCAATAATCTTCGTTTCTTCTATGACATTGTTTGTTTAAAAGGGAATAAAGAGGTATAAAACCATCGAAACGACCTTGTTTAGTCCTAGTCCCGTAATCAGAATAAAGATTATCTAAAAATTAGCTTAATTACTTTATAAAAGCAATGGGCTGCACTAAGAACCCAATCAGATGCGATAAGAGTTGCTCCACAACCCCACCAACCTAAATTATAGTTGTTGAGTAGCGTAGTATTAAGAAAATTATGAATCAAGAAAAGAAAGTAAACGTAATTGATCATAGAGTGAAAACCAATTATGAGAGGATGATTTTTAACATATTTCAGGACATTTTTGGTCAAATTTTCAGCAATATTACAAAAACAAATTAAAAAGTACTTTTGGTTTTTCTAATTAAAATAAAGTATGACGACACCAAATATTCCGCTTAATATTGGTGACCACTGTATGTGTTGAGGGATCTAACCTCCTGAAGAGTTTGCCAATGCGACCATCCAAGGATATTTTCCATCTGGAGTTTCAGTTCCTCCGACTATCCTTGTATCAGGCTTCTGCACACCACACTTAAAGGAACCTTCGCAAACAACATGATACAGGGTCAAACAGATTTAATCAATAGTGGACGTATTTTATCCACTTAAACCGGAGAAAAAAAGACTTTACTGTTTTATTACCCTCCTGTTGTTTTATGTTAGAAGACATAATTTATAGATTAATAACAATACAGATAGAACACTATATGTTGTCTTTTCAAGATTTAGGGGTTTTTCGTTCTCAACAACCCTGAGGCAGAGGCCCAAAGGAGTTACGCGCACGCTCTCTCTGTCTTGTCATCCAACGTGGTATGCGCTTAACTCCTTTGGGCTTCTGCCTCTGGGTTGTTGTGATTAAAAAAACCCTAAAGCTTGAAAATTTTATTTATTGTGTTTTATTTTTTAACTTGTCAACTATTTTATTTTTTTATTATTAAAAAGTTGTTCAAAGTACATTTTTCAGAGTTAGGGGATTAGGAAAGAAAATGAAGGAGGTGGTGGGGTTATACAAACGTGACATTTGAATAAAAAACAAAATTTTAGTTGATAAATAAGTATAGGGTTAATTTACGAAATAAACATTTAACCAAGATATTTTTGTAGGAAAGAAAAGATATATTTGTAGGAAAGAAAAGATATATTTGTATGATTTAGGGAGCACCCCCCCCCCCTCCCAGGTCCTTCCTCAAACCCTTTATCTCTGTAATCCATGCAGGTAGAATATGGGTGCAGGATGGTTGGGCAGTAGGTTGGCGCCAGGCCTAACTATTGGCGCCGTAAATCAGTCGAGTCTTGGATTTAGTAGAGTGTAGAGTGTAGCCTGTGTTTTAACAAGCATCTAGGGACACCTACAGCGCACGCAGACTAAACGGCGTTTATATCTCCTTGAAGTTGTAATATTAGAAGATAAACTCAAGTTTAACTCTGTAGCCAGCTATAGGAATATTACGCAGGACAATAACTGCTTATATAGAAGGTAAATTCATTTATGTAATGCGTATAATACAATACGCATAAAGCGTATTGTTTGTTCACTCATATTATCGTCAAGTTAATCTTGAGACTCTACTCTATGATATATTTAATGTAAATAAACTAAAAGTATGACAAAACAGACAAATTTGATAAATACAAAATCAGATATAAATATCTATTGATTCTGTCCTAAGATTTAGTTAACCTCAGTCAGGTAAAAGGAATAACGAGAGTTAAACTCAGAAGTCAGAACTAGGTACGATAGTCTTAACACTTTTCTACGGTACCCTAGACCCTAGAACTATAATTATCTAGTTCAACTTCTTCTCGTTATTCATTAAATCCAACCTCTAAACATGAACATAGAGATGGGTGTGCTTTTTTTCTACTTTTCGTTCGTTCATCGTTCGTGAACGACCCATTTCGTTCTGTGTTTGTAATAGTTAAATAATGATTTCGTTTTTACTCAAAGATATCGTTCATTTTCCGTCAATTTCGTTCATTTCTAACGGTAAAATCATTAGTTCAATAAAATCGTTTTTTTTTCATTAAACGATACAAATCTCTACATAAAACGTGCTTTTAAAAAGTCCCTAATTTAAAAATCACAGCTCGTCCATAGTCCCTAAAGGACCTATTATGACCTTGAACAAGGTGTAGATTTGGCATGAAAGGGAGGGAGTGTCCCTAAACCAGTCAAGTTTTTAACATTGACAAAATGTATCCCAATTCATCTCTTATTTATTTCTTTACATGCTATTAGATTTAGTTTCTTGAAATAAGAACAGTCTGATAGAGCAAGTTTGTATTCAATGTTTTTATGCTTAAATTGACCGTATCTAGTGTCTATATGTATATTTGCGTACTGACCGTATGGTATGGTTTGGGTCGGAGATTCTGAAATATAAAAGATAAAAACTAAATTATACCCTAGCCTAGTTCACATTCCTACATCAAAACCAGCTCTATATCACTGCCCTCACCCTTCCAAATATTATATTTTCTTGCAAACCAATATTTTCTTTTTGATCGTAAAACATATGCTTTCATGTGTTTCACTTATCTTTCAAAAAAATACAATTTTTCACCAAACAATTTTATTCCGTTACCTTCAAGTTACTCAAAAACAAATATCCAAATCCAAATTATTCTACTTTAAACTCATTCAAATACTAAGATTGACAACGGTTCCCTAAAAAGCGTTGTTTGATCAAAAAGAATTAGATTTCAATGGATTTAACTTGGAAAAATTATTATTTTCATATGTGAATTCTCTACAAGCTGACTGCAGAAAATCATCATATATGGTAGTTATCAGTATCAAACATTTCAACCCTAGAAAAATGACAAAATCTTCCACATTATTTGTAAAATTTTAAGGTTTTATGATTTATGTTATGAATCGGACAATACCATCTTTGCATGGGGAGTCGGTTACTTGACATCTTTAAACAATAATCTTATTCTTCTATCACCGTTCATCTTCATCTTTTCAACTTTGTCCTTTTATATTCACCATCTTTATCTTTCAACTTTGTCATCTTATATTTACCATCTTCATCTTTTCAACTTTGTCATCTTATATTCACCATCTTCATCTTTTCAACTTTGTCATCTTATATTCACCATCTTCATCTTTTCAACTTTATCATCTTATATTCTAAAAGAATATATATCTATTAATACAAAATGTTGTAATTCATTTAATTCTTTGTTCACATTGTGTTGTCGCTTCAACAATAAACATATATTCAGTTTCATGTTCTAAACATTTAAGTTTAAAGGGGAGTGTGGGGATAAGAAAGACATGGGTGTGTCAGACAACTTGACAGATAGGTTTGTAAATCCAACATTAACAATCTGATATCTTGGATACATCGTGATAGACAAGGGGTACTGGAGGGGTTTATTGTAAGGTTACTAGGGGGGTGGGGTTTATTGTAGGGTTACCAGGGAGTTACTGTAGAGTTACCAGAAGGGTTTATTGTAAGGTTACCCGAGGGGTTTATTTTAGGCTTACAAATGGGTTTATTGTAGGTTTACTAGGGGTTTATTGTAGGATAACTAGGGGTTTATTGTAGGGTTACCAGGGGTTTATTGAAGTGTTACCGAGGGGTTTATTGTAGGGTTACCAGGTGGTTTCATTGTAGGATTACTAGGGGTTTAATGTAGGGTTACCAGGGGTTATTCCAGAGTTACCAGAGGGTTTATTGTAGGCTTACCCGGGGGTTCATTATATGGTTACCAGGGGGGTTTATTGTAGGGTTACCAGGGGGTTATTGTAGGCTTACCAGAGTGTTTGTTAAAGGGTTACTTGTAGTTTTATTGCAGGGTTACCAGGGAGTTTATTGTAGGGTTACCAGGGGGTTATTCCAGGGTTACAAGAGGGTTTATTGTAGGATTGCCCGGGGGTTTTTGTTGTATGGTTACCAGAGTGGTTTGTTGTAGGGTTACCAGGGGTTATTGTAGGGTTACCAGAAGGTTTATTGCAGGGTTACTTGGGTGTTTATTGTAGGGTTACCTGGGGGGTTTATTGTAAGGTTACCAAGAGGTTTATTGCACGGTTACCAGGGGGGTTATTGTTACCATTCATGGTGTCTATTAATGCTACCATGGCTTTTATTGTAGAGTGTTTCTTGCGAAGTTTATCAGGATTAATGTTTATTTAAGAACTTCTTTGGCTTACGTGGGACACAGCTCTATACGATAATAATTGATGAATTGATTTTTTAAATGCAGCTTATAAAAAGCCTGAAATTAATGACGATGATGTATTAGAGATATACAGTATACACGGTGCATTAACCTATAGCGTGACTTTGTATTTTAGAAGAATAAATTAATTGATCCATCATCTAATTAATTTTTTAGTTGACAAACAATTTAAGTTTAAATTTTAAATGATTAACTACAATCATTCTTAATTATCAATATCTATTAGTGAATTAATTCACAAACTTTTGAAAAGAGTTAATCTATAAATCTTGATCATTTGATTTAAACTTAGAATCCTTAGATTTTACTTGGATTCATAAAGTTGGTAATTGGCAGGGTAGTACAGGACCTGGATACTTAAACCTATACCAGGGCAGAGTATTCTAGGACCTGGATGCTTAAACCTATACCAGGGCATGGTATTCTAGGGCCTGAATACTTAAATCTATACAAGGGCAGGGTACTCTAGGACCTGGATACTTGAACCTATACCAGGGCATGGTATTCTAGGGCCTGAATACTTAAATCTATACAAGGGCAGGGTACTCTAGGACCTGGATACTTGAACCTATACTAGGGCAGGTTACTCTAGGACCTGGATACTCAAACCTATGCCAGGGCAGGTTATTACTGGACCTGAATACTTGAACCTAAACCAGGACAGTGTATTCTAGAACCTGGGTACTTGAACCTAAACCAGGACAGTTTATTCTAGAACCTGGATACTTGAACCTAAACCAGGACAGTGTATTCTAGAACCTAGATACTTGAACCTAAACCAGGACAGTGTATTCTAGAACCTAACTACTTGAACCTAAACCAGGGCAGTGTATTACAGGACCTGGATACTTGAACCTATACCAGGGCAGTGTATTCTATGAAGGACCAACATATGCCTGGTTCTGCAATATATGTGTTGCCTAAAGATAAGAGGATCTATTGACCGACCATATTTACACCGCTATTCACTATTATACGACGCGAACGGCAGGGGAGGGGGCTGCAGGGAAAGGGAGGAGGGGACGGGGACGGGGGAGTGGAATAGGCGGGTGGCAGGAAATATTTTTGCCCTCCTCCCCACTAATATCTAAATATAAGACGCAAAATAATTCCATTTCATCTAAATAAGTTAATTTTATCTTTCATAGTTTTTTTAAAAATTGTTCCTTGAAAGTCGAGACATAGAATGCCGTTGAATTTTAAAGCGATAGAATCTTAATATCATATTTAACTTTGAGTATTATTTTTTATCATTTAATATTTCAAGGCCAGGAGAAGCAAGTGATGTATACAATAAAAACCTCCAACTATAGAAAATTAAAACCTCCAACTATAGAAAATTAAAACCTCCAACTTTAGAAAATTAAAACCTCCAAGTATAGAAAATTAAAACCTCCAGCTATAGAAAATTAAAACCTCCAACTTTAGAAAAGGTGTTCTTTGGACATTTTTTTATTCTAATAAATGCAAAAAATGCTAATGGAATCTATACAATCCTCTCTGAAATCTAATGTATCGTTGATAACTCTAAAGAAATTGAGTTTTTGCCACAGGCTCAAATTTACTAACCCCTATATCTTTGGAACCTGAAAATCTGAACTTTCTACATTTCAAACTTAAACTATTTGATCTAATATAATTCATAATTTGAAATATCTGGTGTCGATGGACATTATTTGCCAAGATGAATTGGAAAATCAGAGTTTGTGGCAAAGACTCAACTCCTTTCTTTAACTCATAGTAAATTCTCCCCCCTCTCCTTTACTCTGTTTAAAACGCTGTATAGAGAGTTTGAACTGGTTTAATCTTGATAATTGCTCCCTCCGGCCTAATCTACCCAGACCAAACTAAACTTACTGTACTTTGTCATTCTGTCTTTTTAAAACTTTACTTTTTTCGCAAATTGTTTGTATGTCATGCAGTCTGTCAAACCATAGTTGTTTTGTATTGTCTGTCAATCTAAAAATGTGTCAATCAACCCAAATATCAAATTGTCATTTTTTAGTCCGTGAGTCTGTTAATCTGTCTGTTCGTCTTTAAGTCCAATATCTATGATGTGTATCTGGCAGTGTTTCTCTTTTTTATTGTTTAAATCTGTTTGTCTGTCAGTCTGTTAATCAGTCAATTTTCTTTGATAGTTTGATTACAGGGGTTCCTGTCTATTTATATCAAAGAATGTAATTTACTCAATTAAATAATTTGTATCGTATCCTTCTGTCTTCCTACACCCTCAATCAGTCACTCTTCTGCCCCCCCCCCCTTCGCCAACTGATATTGTATCATTTCAAATGGTTCTAATCCCGATCCTATTTTCCCAACAAAACAAATCTTTGCAACCTGTTATATCTTACACAGTAGAAAATTAAATTCAAACCGCAACACCTCGATCATGTTGGCATACACTAGACTTGTTTCGAAAACAATGGTACCTTAATAATCGATTTTACGGTTTAATTCTTATGAGGCTTGGCCCTGACTTCTACGGAATGATCTCTGTGACTATGTTTGAGTTGGCTAAGGTTAAGCAATATCTGGGGGTCGGGCTACTTCTGATTCAAATAAAGTTGTTAATTGTATATGTGAGAAACCTTCCATTGACAATTCTATTTTTAGATCTTCGCACTCAGATTAAATTCAAGCATTGAAGATGCCTATAGAAAGAAAAGGAATTAGGGCTTTGCAGGTAAAATTTAGAAATTGAGAAGAAATTCATGAATTACAAAAATTTCAAAAATATTTTAGTTTGATAAAAAATAAAAATTGTGACATCTCTATCACGGAGTGGAGTAAGGTTTTTAAAATAACTCAAAAACTGTTTGAGACGTTCAAACTTCTGGAATTTTCCAACTTTAAAATTAAAGACAAATTTTCCAACTTCTTGAATTTTCCAACTTTGAAATTAAAGACAAATTTTCAAACTTCTGGAATTTTCCAACTTTGAAATTAAAAACAAATTTTCAAACTTCTGGAATTTTCCAACTTTGAAATTAAAAACAAATTTTCAAACTTCTGGAATTTTCCAACTTTGAAATTAAAGACAAATTTTCAAACAGCTGGTCAAAATATTTGGTTTTCGTGATGATCATAGAAAATATATATTCTTACTTTTTGACCTTTCCATATTTCCCTTTCGTGTTGGAAACGGTTAATGCAAGATCTGTTCTTCCGCGGAACTAATTCAGATTTTGATGGGGGAGGATCGATTGAAGAGTGGAGGGGGGGGGGGATAAAAAAGTAAAGAATAAAAGTGAAAAGAAAAGATATGTAATGTAAGGAAGAAGAATATAGGGAAAATAGAGAAGCGAAAACAAAACTGTTTTACATGATCGACTCCGGTTCTAATAACAAACAAATGATCGATGTCCTAATTTAATGAATTTAAGCCGCGTCTCAAATCCCCCTAAAACCAGTTTCAATTGAGCCCCGACTCAAATTCTTTGAATTCGGCCTCAGATTTTGATAAACGTTTTCTAGATAAAAGTTTCCTAGATAAAAGTTTCCTAGATAAAAGTTTCCTAGATAAAAGTTTCCTAGATAATATATTACTAGATAAAAATTTCTTAGAAAAAAGTTTCCTGGATAAAAGTTTCTTAGAAAAAAGTTTCCTAGATAAAAGATTCCTAGATAAAAGTTTCCTAGATAAAAGTTTCCTATATAAAAGTTTCCTAGATAAAAAGTTTCCTAGATAAAAGTTTCCTAGATAATATATTACTAGATAAAAATTTCTTAGAAAAAAGTTTCCTATATAAAAGTTTCCTAGATAAAAAGTTTCTTAGATAAAAGTTCACATAATATTGTCCCTTGGAACAAATGCGTTGTCATTCCTTTTTCGGATATCTTCATAGTTTATTTGTTATTTTGTTTCAAATATTCATCTTATTATCTGCGCGTGTCGAATAATCTAGCTGGGCGCACCCTATCCCATCCTTTAAACTCCGGCATTATGCGCGCCTAATATGATAAAAAATGGATTATGTTTGCTTGGATTAGAATCCATATTTGGAATGCAAGGCTCCGCAAGTCTGTTAAACCTTGTTTGTATTGTAATCTAAATATAAACGTTACATGCACCGTTAAAAAAACGCATTTATGTTGTCTTTTTTATTCTAGATAAAATTCTTTTTCTTATGTTTTTATTCAATTTTGAATTTATCACACCTATAATATTTCCCGTTGTAAGTGTGATTAAGTGACTTTATCGCCCTACAAGTAGGCTACAACAGGGCGAAAAAGTAATTTTTCCAACCTGCTATTTAAATTTCAAATTTTATACCTAATTTGTCTCATTGTAGGGTGATAAAGTTTCTTAATCACCCTACAACAGGGTGATTAAGTAACTTTATCTTTATCGTAACTTTTAAATAATTTGAGTAAAATTGAAAAAAACTATATATGTTATTGAAATGGGTATCATGCGTGCTAAAATTTTTTTGCTATGATTTTTAATTTTTTTGTTTGTTTTCGATCAAAATAAAAATCCCGGGAAAAACTTTTTCGCACTTAATAATACTCATTACAATGACAAAGATATTTTTTACTCCAATTATGATATTCATATATTTTGTCACCTAAGATCTTAGATAATTTAAATCAAAGTTTGAAATATCAGGTTGAACAGATATATGGATTAGAAAATTAGAGTTTTTTGGCAACTTTAGTTCCTTTATTGTTCTATGATCACGTGGATTTAACGGTTCTGTCAATATTCCAGAAAGCTGTGACTTTCGATCACAATTTGACCCATTAAACATAATTTATTAGTCTTTTTTCTTAAATACTTTTTTGTCGGCATATGCATTTTGAAGGAAAAGGTATAACGTAAACAAATCCCTAAGTGTAAAGGTTGTTGAATTAAAGACCAAAACACGTTTGATTTCAAATAGAAGAAACCGAATGCTGCTCACTCTGGATAGTCCGGGGTGTGATATGCGATCTATCACCACTTTTCAAACAAACATTTATTTATTTTTAAAATATTTCAGTTCTGATCAGTGAGCAGTTAACGGGTTGTATTATCGAATACATTTTTAGATTTGGTGCAGACGAGTAACCGATGGATACGAAAATGTGAATATTCTTGACATGTCGTCTTCCTGGAGAGATGGTTTAGGTAGGATTAAATCAAACTACAAAATTTCAAATTACAAAATCCTGGTATTTGTTTCTATAGTTACAAAAAAGAGTGAAGACTGCAATCCTTTCGGTATTTATTGGGTATCACTTTACAGGGTTCCCACAAAGAATGTAATTTTAAAGACGACCTGAAACTCATATAATATAGCTTTTGATTCATCATATACTATTTTAAAAGCTTCTAACGATCTGGCCAAGATAAATAATTGACAGTTGCAAGGAATCATGAATGATTCGACAGGAAATTGACATTAAAAATTCCGTACAGTCGTCTCTGAAGTCTCATTCTTTGTAGAGAATTTGCAGGTTAAGAAAATATATATTATTCTTTTTAGTAAATGAAATATCAATTTTTTAGGATTCTGTGCACTTATTCATCATTTCAGACCCACACTCATAGGTAATATACTTGGTAATTCTCATTAATCTAATGAATTTTTGTCACAAACTCTTATACTATCTCTTTGCTATTAAATTTTATTTCAGAGAATTATGAATTATTAAATTGTATAATTATTGAAAGGGTGCATGTTTAATGAACAGACTGCATTAGACCCTAAAAATTCATCGACAAATGGTTTTTTTTGGTGGGGTTACCTTGCACTTTTTAGACAAGCATCTTTTTAATCCAATTAAAAATATTGTCTTTAATTAGATAAACAATTTATCTAAAAGTTTTGAAAAACTAACCAGTCTACAGTCTACAGTCTACACGGTTTCTATGACCGAATATTTTCTCCATTTCAGATTTTCCAAGTTTAAAGGCTGAAAACATATTTGAGAATAATAATCTTGCATTCACTGTAGCTGAAGAGCATTTGGGTATTCCAGCTCTTTTAGACCCACAGGTTAGTGTTTATTTGGCTGCAGGGACAATTAGAAAAATATTTAGAAAACAACTTTAACTCTCTTTAATCAAGAGCATTATTGCATTATTGCATTATGCCTTACAATGTTAAAATGAGTTAACCAATTTTTAAAGATTTTTTAAGATCATAACATTTTCTCTGCTAGGATATGAATAATGAAATATGAATTGAATAGAAAAAAGGATTATAATATAGGATATGGTTGAATGTGAGGAACCGGACAGGTTTTCAATTGTTACCTACGTCTCCCAGTTCTATCACTTACTGAAGGTAAAATTATTATTAGATTTTTTAGGGTTCTACAGAATTAATGATTTAAAATCATGAAGTAGGAAAAAATGAAATTATTTTGTTCTAGAACGAGGATAACTCTTGTCTCTCTCCGTCCTTGTCCCGGCTCCGTATCTCTGGAGTATCAGAGTCCGAATCTGATTCTCTCTGCTCCTCTGCGGAGTCTACGCCTTTGGTAAGGTTGAAACTTTTATTATTAATCAAAGATGGCGACTAAACCATTACTATGTTTGTAAAGTAAAAGAAATAAAACGAATTTTAGTTTTTGCCACAAACTTTGATTTTTGAAAATCCCTCTGTCACCCGATGTCGTTGACCTTTAATACTTTAAACTATGAATTCTGTCAGAATCAAATGTTCAAGTTTGAGGTTTACACTATCAGGTTGCAAAGATTTTAATAGTGAATAGAAAATTTTAATTTCTGGCAAAAATTTATTTTTTTTGTAGCATTTTTTACCGGAATGAAATTTTAGGGGTAAATTAAGATTTTCCCTAATTTAAAAAAAAACAATATTACAAAAACAAGCGAAAATTGATAAGCCCAAAAAAATACGTCTTTAATTGTAGCATGCCGTTATCTTAGGTCTATTTTAAGATAACTTTTTCGTTTCGTATTTAAAAGTTTCTTCATGATATAGGGGTTCAAAATCTCCATAGAGATATATATATGATATAGGGGTTCAAAATCTCTATAGAGATATATATGACATAAGGGTTTTCAAAATCTCTATAGAGATATATATGATATATGGGTTCAAAATCTCTAGAGAAAGCGGAGAAATAAAAAAATTACAACGAATATTTGTCTTAGAATTTATCTCTGTTGATGATGCATATAAACGATACACACTAAATGTTTCTTTTAAGTGCTTCTTGATTACATATGCATTTAGATACTAATTTATTACCGTTAACAGTCTGCCTATAGCTATCAGTCTCTGCCCTGATATGCGGTTATTAATCATCCTCATTCTTATTCATTAGTTGACACAATTCAATTCAATATTATGTTAAAAAACACAATATTCAAATTTCAGGATTTGTGAATGTTTTTTTATTCCAGGGAACGCCGCGAACTGTTCCCCGAAGCGTGTTCTCCACGGACAATCCCCTTCTCAGGAACAACAAGTTCTCACCTGACCTCAGGTTATAAAGTTAAATATTGCAACCTCCCTGACCTCAGGTTATAAAGTTAAATATTGCAACCTCCCTGACCTCAGGTTATATAGTTAAATATTGCAACCTTCCCTATATTTGACCTTGGGTTTATAGTTAAATATTGCAACCTCCCTGACCTCAGGTTATATAGGTAAATATTGCAACCTCCCCTATATTGGACCTTGGGTATATAGTTAAATATTGCAACCTCCCTGACCTCAGGCTATATAGTTAAATATTTTAACCTCCCCTTTACTTGACCTCAGGTTATATAGTTAAATATTGCAACCTCCCTGACCTCAGATAATATAGTTGAATATTGCAACCTCCCCATTCACCCTATCGCAAAGAAACAGAGGTTTTCTTTTTGAAAATCAAAATATCTGAAACAAATAGTTTGAAAAACGAATAAGCAAGTCAAATTTAAAAATTTATATTCTATTTTTTTTATAAAAATATGAAAAATTTCAAAATTTCCAAAAATAAAATGTCAAATTTTTAAATAAAATCCAAAGCTAAAAGTGTTTTTGAAAGTGCATCATAATTTATTTAAATTGTGAAAACATTTCAAAGCTAATTTAATTTCTACCAAAATTATACTCCCCCCCCCCTTCTGACAGAAATTATGCATTTAGTTCCATAAATAAATTAAATCTGGTTTTGTGAATTAATGTGTTCCAATTATATAGTTTTAAGAACGGTGTATAATCTTGAAGTCAGGTAGAAAACTTGGCAAATTATCAAACATATCCATCATGCATTCTGCATAATCATTATATCCGGGGGCACATCTTATAACGGAATATTTTTTAACATTTTAGAAATTCTAAAATTCGTTTTCCACAATGGCAATACAGATAATGCTTTATTTTTCAACATATAATGCTTTTTTAATATATAATGTAATATTTTTAAAAAATATTTTGTTTATATTTCAGCGTCACCCTGACTGAGAGTACGCATCTGAAATCCAGTGCTGGCATTACAATAAGTTCTGTTTGTCAGGTTTAATTTTGTTTCTTTGTTTGTCAGGTTTAATTTTGTTTCTTTGTTTTTCTAAAACAGAAAATAACATAAAAACGTTATTGTGTGAAAAGGATTTGAGTCTTTGCCGCAAACTAAGATTTTCTAATCCGTATATCTTTGCAACCCAATGCCGTATACCTTATATATTTCAAACTATGAATTCTGGCAGATCAGATAATTTAAGTTTGAAATATCAAAGGTTTGCACCATCAAGTTGCTAAGATATAGGAATTTATAGAAAATTTGAGTTTGTGACAGAGACTCAATTTAAATTTTATCACTTCAAGTCGATCCTTCCTAGAAATTAGAGTTTTAGTGCCAAGCAACTTTTGTATAATTGTTAGGCCAAAGGCTAAATAAAAATGTTGCTTGCATTTTAGGCCTGATTGCCGAATGCAGAATAGAAATGGTTTGGATTTTTAAATATTAAATTTAAATCCCAGGGTTGAAAACAACAAGGGAAGGGAGCTCTGTTAGATTAATAAAGGGTTAAAATTATGATTTCATAAAAATAATATTTTTTAAAAAGTGATGATTTTAAAAATAAAATATTTTTTGTTTAGGATTTGACAAGACAGTTGTATATACACCAAGAAAAAGAAACATAATCAAACAGCAGCTAATAAACTTCTTAGATAGATAGCACAAAACATCATTGTTTATCTAAATGTTTTTTCCCCTTTATTAAATCTATACAATATTTAAAATCTCATGTAAAANATCTTAAAAAGCTCTATAATAATCATATTAATATATATTCTGTGCCATACATTAATAAAATATAAATACTCGAGTATATAAAACGTTTTCCAATTTATAATCATGTATGTATCTATTTTGTGTATATGTTCTAATGAAAAAGGTGAATGTATCCAGTAAAAGGTCAACGACTAACTTCAGTTACAAATATTTACTAATGTTCGAAACAAGCAAACTATAGCTGTAAAAAAGGATAAAGACATTTTTGTGTTAGTTTGCCATTTCTTTCAACTTTCTAACTGTCAATCTAATTATTATTTTATACTTTACATCTGATTTAAGCTAGTATTTACACCCTAATGTACGTTTTCAACTTTGTTTCCTTGAGTTCTTGAGATTTGGTTCTGTCAGGAAGATTCAAAACCTAACCTAAGTTTGTCAAGCGATCTAACATTCTTGCTATCTACATATCTGTCTGAAACCCAATTCTGCAAATCAATCTTAATTTTTATCTATTTATCTATAGGCTATCAGGGTGCTTCGCGCTCATCTTCTATTTCAACTTTTATTTTCTTTCCAATAAAACAATAATAACTTTTTCTGGGGATTTCTTTTTTTTCATGGATTTTAAAAATTCTATGAAAAATATTTTTGAGACAACTTTTTTGTAAATTATACATTGTAATTCTTTGCATCAATGAACCTTCCTTGTGAGGACCTACCACAAATTTTGGCCCGATCGGATTTGCTGTTTTTACATTTATCAGTTACAAACAAACAGACAGACAAGCAAAACATATATATATATATATATATATATATATTTACCTCTGTATATCAAAATTAATTAGCAAAGCTAAAATATTTGTCTAGCTTTTCAAACCTAGAGATTCATTTCTATAATCGAGCTTACTTTCTACCTCACTGAAAAGTTTTTAAATGTCTTGCTATAGGTAACATGAACTTTACTTTAAGTGTTGAATTATCCTAAGGCCTATATTTGTCTTCCTGTACATTATTCATAGCTACATATTATAGCAAGACAACTAGCTGTCTACTGAATTATAAAGCTATCTAAAAATATGTTTTTAAGTTAAATGTCTTGCTATAGGTAACATGAACTTTACTTTAAGTGTTGAATTATCCTAAGTCCTATATAATTGTCTTCCTGTACATTATACATAGCTACATATTATAGCAAGACAACTAGCTGTCTACTGAATTATAAAGCTATCTAAAAATATGTCTAAAGTATGTTTTACAGTAAACTAATTAGTCTAGCTATCTACCACCTGTATAACACCTATAAATAGGCAACAGACTTGTTCCAAGGCCTTTATATATACTTAAAGGAACTGTAGGCGTAACTTTAATGCATGGCAATGCTAGATTCACAAGGGAACCCTGAAAAGTATTGTCTTATCATTAAATATGATAATTTGAAAGTTTAATGTTGTTCTCTTTCTTGATATTTGTATTAAATGTATCTCTTTAATAAGATGGAAACGAAATAGAGACATGTAACGCCTTTGAAAAGTCTCTGAAGTCTCATTTTTTGTGAGTAACCCTGTAGGTTTAAGGCCTACAAGGTTTATAGGCAACTGACAACAGTATGAGTCATACTGCCTGTTATAGGCATCATCCAAGCAAATATAGATGCGTAGGCAACCAGACTTAGTCCTCCCATCTTCTATTCGTATTCACCACATCATCTTAGATAAATCTTAGATAAATTCACGGTGCTCAGGGAATTGAGTTTTTGCCACAAACTCTGATTTTTTAAATCATCTTTCAACCAATATAATAGACCTTAGATATTTCAAACTATGAACCCAGCGGAATTTTAAGAATTTGAGCCGCGGCTTAAATTTGAGACGCGGCTCAAATATGGTTGGTTCCACTAAAATAGCATTCAAAGTTTCAACATTTAAGCCTGCGCTCAATTGAAACCGGGTTTTGGGGATTTGATACACCGTTCAAATTCATTAAATTCGGACTCTGATAGATAAAATCATCTGAGTTTTAAATATCAAATGATTACACTATCAGGCCGGTTGTAAATATACAGGGATTAGAAAATTTGAATTTGTGGCAAAAAATCAGTTCCTTTAGGATAAAATGTGAAACCCCCCCTCATTCTGTGCTCAGTCCTGATTACACGATGGTCTGAACTGTGACAGATTTAATTGGTTTCTAAGTGTTTAAGGTTTAATGGTTTGTTTACACCTCTGTCAACCCCAATCAACCCACACTGATTATCCTCTTATCCCAGGCAGGAAATAGGCCTGAAACCAGGAAGGATATTGCCCTTTCATCACGTGCATCATTTAGCACGTTTTATACAATAATGATGTTTTATAGGGAGTGTCAATGCAGGCTAGTGCATCATTTAGCACGTTTTATACTATAATGATGTTTTCTATAAGGGAGTGTCAATGCAGGCTAGTGCATCATTTAGCACGTTTTATACTATTTAATGCTGTTTTAAAGGGAGTGTCAATGCAGGCTAGACATTGTAGTTGACACTCCCTTCATCACGTACATCATCTAGCACGTTTTACACTAACTAAAATGCTGTTTTAAAGGGAGTGTGACTGGCAGACATGCTAGCTGACACCAGTAGGTATATTATTATTTTATAAAAAGAAGGCTTTTCGTACTAACACAGCTGACACTCCCTTCATCACGTGCATCATTTAGCACGTTTTATACTATAATGCTGTTTTATAGGGAGTGTCACTGACTAGAAATTTTAGTTGACACTCCCTTTAAAGCATGGTATAGTGTTCTTAATAATACAGCTCTTCGCTTACATATATATATTTATATATTGCTCGGTGTAGCTGAATCGGCTAAATCAAATTAGATGTTTATTTAAGGAAACCCATGGGTATCTCAGGAGTGAAAATAAGAATGAGGAAAAATTAGAAACGTCTGAATTTTCACAGGCAACACCGGCCGGGCACTTGAGCTGTAATCATGATTTTTAACAAGCACGGGTAAACTGCGGGCAAAACAATGAACAGTGAAGTTTGAACACAAAAACATAATAAAGCTCTTCGCTCATGTATATCTATATTTATATGTCAGTTATAGCCGGCCAAACGGCTGGACCAAATCGGCTGACATTAAAAAAATGATTTGATTTAAAAATAGGTTTTTTTTCTTCAACAAGCAAAATTTTTTTGGTTTAATGTAGTATATATTTCTATATTTGTGTATAAGAAAAGAAATATTCAACATATGATTTGCATTTTTATTGTATCGACATTATGTGTCATGCTAGACATTCTTCAGGATATTTAGTTATTAAGGTGTATAAGTTCTGGAAACCCAGTGTTTGGTTTAATGTAGTATATATTTCTATATTTGTGTATAAGAAAAGAAATATTCAACATATGATTTGCATTTTTATTGTATCGACATTATGTTTCATGCTAGACATTCTTCAGGATATTTAGTTATTAAGGTGTATAAGTTTTGCAAACCCAGTGTTAGTTTCAAAGCAATGTGCGAAAATCTATCAAGCCTTGCAGTACTGTAATTCCACATTTTTAGAAAACGAAAAACACTTTATTTGTGTATAATGGTTAATGCTCGGCATTCTTCAGGATATTTAGTTATTTAAGTGTATATATATAAACATATACATAAAGATATATATATATATTTTTGTGCATAAGTTCTGCAAACCCAGTGTTAGTTTCAAATCAATGTGCGAAAATCTATCAAGCCTTGCAGTACTGTAATTCCACATTTTTAGAAAACGAAAAACACTAAACTGGGACCAAGAAACTCCATTTCTGAAAACCACATCTGAATAACTAAACTATACTCATGCTAAAAGTCTTGTATTGCACCTGTTTTTTTTGGCAAACCCTGTCAATTATAAAATGCGATATCCAGAGAAAAGAGTATTAGTTATAATTGTATACATATATATATATATATATATATATATATATATATGTATATATATATATATATATATATATATATATACAAATAACTAAATATCCTGAAGAATGTTGTTAGCTATAGCTGGCCAAACGTCTGGACCGAATTGGCTAAACTTGTTTGAGGGAACCTATGGGTACCCAGACCCATGGGGGTTATATTTGCTAAAAAATGAAGTCTTTTCCAAAACCAATTTTTTTATTTTCAAAATTCGATTTAAAAAAAACGCCGTTCACTTAAGCTAATATAATATAAACCTGAGCAACGCCAGGTACTCCAACTAGTTATTTATAAAACTTTAAACTATAAACTCTCCCTGTAAATTTCCGTTTCCAAACCCAACCCAATTGTTGTTTTTTTTCAAGTATTTTGTTATTGGGCGTTCTATTTCTTCTATTAATAAGTTTTCCTTTTGGAGAACTAATTCAAAATTGCCAGATATGAACAAATAAAAAATACAACAGAATCAGTATACGATTACGATCTTTGCAGCTTTCCCTCAATTGTCTTGTGTCTCCGTTCTTAGGCGTATTTTCTCGACATTGTCATTTATTTTCTTCCTAGGGGGGCTCAGTACCCGGTAGGGTTCAAAAATCCCCTGGAAACCAAATATTTCAATGTTTATTTCTAATACTTTATGTTAGACTTGACAATATATTTTTCCTGTTTAGTTTTGACTTTGAGTGCCGACTTCCTTATGCTTAACATGCAGTTTTAAAAATAAACCAACTCTCATTGTTCATGAACTTGGTTTGCGTTTTGTAACCTTTCAACCTTTGAGGCATCCTGCAAACAAATTATAATTGCAATTTGTAGGGAATTCTTATTTACAACCTGCAGAGTGCAGAGTGTAGATTCGATATAATGGCGGAAAGTTGTTTATAAGTGAGAAATAGAGCTGATATAATGTTATTTTTAGCTCATTCTTTATTCTTTAAAGAGATTTTCCGTCCATTTTAATAAAATAACACAAAATATCCCATTTTATGAACGAGGAACGCAACAAATTTATGCAGAAACTGAAAAAATTTCCAAAGGAATAATATCAAAATTTTAATTATAAAAACTGAAAATATTGATAGAATTCACTAAATTACAAGAAACCTAAAAAAGTTTTACGAAATTAAAGGAAACCTAGAATAGTTTTACAAAATTACAAGAAACATGGACCGACGATAGTTTTACAAAATTACAAGAATCATGGGATAGTTTTACAAAATTATAAGAAACATGGGATAGTTTTATGAAATTACAGGAAACATGGGATAGTTTTATGAAATTACAAGAAACATTGGATAGTTTTATGAAATTACAAGAAACATGGGATAGTTTTATGAAATTACATGAAACATGAGATAGTTTTATGAAACTAAGAGAAACCTAAGATAGCTTTACGAATTTACAAGAAACATGGGATAGTTTTACAAAATCACAAGAATCATGGGATAGGTTTACAAAATTACAAGAATCATGGGATAGTTTTACAAAATTACAAGAATCATGGGATAGGTTTACAAAATTACAAGAAAGATGGGATAGTTTTACAAAATTACAAGAAACATTGGATAGTTTTACAAGAAACAAGGGGATAGTCTTACAAAATTACAAGAAACATGGGATAGTTTTACAAAATTAAAGGAAACCTAGAATAGTTTTACAAAATTACAAGAAACATAGGATAGTTTTACAAAATCACAAGAAACAATGGGATAGTTTTATGAAATTACAAGAATCATGGGATAGGTTTACAAAATTACAAGAAACATGGGATAGTTTATGAAATTACAAGAAACATGGGATAGTTTTACAAAATTACAAGAAACATGGGATAGTTTTATGAAATTACAAGAAACATTGGATAGTTTTATGAAATTACAAGAAACATTGGATAGTTTTACAAGAAAATAGTTTTACAAAATTACAAGAAACATGGGATAGTTTTACAAAATTACAAGAAACATGGGATAGTTTTATGAAATTACAAGAAACATTGGATAGTTTTACAAGAAACAATGGGATAGTTTTACAAAATTAAAGGAAACCTAGAATAGTTTTACAAAATTACAAGAAACATGGGATAGTTTTATGAAATTACAAGAAACATTGGATAGTTTTACAAGAAACAGTGGGATAGTTTTACAAAATTAAAGGAAACCTAGAATAGTTTTACAAAATTACAAGAAACATGGGATAGTTTTACAAAATTACAAGAAACATGGGATAGTTTTATGAAATTACAAGAAACATTGGATAGTTTTACAAGAAACAGTGGGATAGTTTTACAAAATTAAAGGAAACCTAGAATAGTTTTACAAAATTACAAGAAACATGGGATAGTTTTACAAAATTACAAGAAACATGGGATAGTTTATGAAATTATAAGAAACTTAGGACAGTTTTAAAATATATGGGATAGTTTTACAAAATTAAAATAAACATGGGATAGTTTTACAAAATCACAATTGAAACATGGGATAGTTTTACAAAAAAATATTGATGGCTCTCCCCCTCAGGAATATTTAGAGATAGACTGATATAATTTTGCTTCTAATTGTAATTGAAGAACTATTTGTATTTTCAAAAAGGTAAAAAGGGTCAAATGTTTTCATTTTTAAATTAAAATGTTAAGTCGAATGTGCTAAATCTTTTACAAATTAGTTGTTAGTTCACCAAGTAATATCGTGAAAAGTTTCTGGGCGATGTTTAGTACACCCTTCTTTGTTTCTTTAATTGCGCTATGGAGGTATTTTTTCAGAAATTATTTTAATAATCAATCATAAACGATTCTAAATACGTTGGTTCGTTTTTTTTGCAAACATAATCGGTCTTTAAAAATGTCGTATTTTATCAGGAAAATCCTGAAATGAAAACGATTTCCAGTTCTGGGATAAATAGGTAGTTATTCAATACATATACCAATGTATGGGTTCATACAACTGTATATCTGAATACACAGAATGAATAATAATAGAAAACAATAGCTATTCATATTACCAACATCAACGGTATTTGATTTCCGGGGAATTCTTCTGTAAAATCTTGTTTCAACTGTCAAAGTTTTCACAATTATACTATTTGATATAGTTTATATTGCTCACATTAAATCATCCTGGGACCGAATTTAACGAATTTAAGAGACTAAACATACCAACCTCTGCCACTCTGGTTTAAATCCTGAATCACCGATTCAAAGTCAAAGATTTGAACCGGGTTCAGGTAGTTTAGCGACCTCTTCAAGTCCCTGCTGGTATATTGACAAACACAGTCATCAAATCATAAAAGTATGAAATTCTGATCGTCTTATATTTAAACATTTTTTTTTGTAAAATCAGTTTAGTGTATCAATCTTATTGCATACAAGTAAACATAGCATCCCATCATATTGAATTATCTCACAAAGCTTTAACTCCAAAATACACAAAGAACCTTTAATTGTTTTTCACGCAAACTATTAAAAAATCTTTTAACGATGAAATCTTTCTCTTTTATTTTCTCTGCAACATAAATAAAATAGTTAGAGCTGGAAACTCTTTTATTATGGATATCGAGATCATTGATTTATCTCGATATTTTGTTAATCTAAAGATTAATTTAATCTTTATTCGATATCCTGCATTGTAAATCAAGATATCTGGATTATGAGTATCAAACACAAAAGAACCATGCTCAGATCAATCTATAATTGTTTAACAACTATTGAATAAAAGTAAACATAAGTTTAGAAGAGAAAATCCAACGAGGTTATAGTGTATAGAGTGATGATGTACGCTAATCCTTTATTGCATAGGCCATAAACTATACCGAGAGCGTACTGCATATTTGTTTATTATAAGGAGATTCTGGCCTAACCTTTAGTATATCATTATTAGTAAACAGTTGTAAGTGTACAGTACAGCTAACTGAGCACACAGGTAGGAAACTATCATCCCTCCTGAGAAAATCACATTCTTTTAAACAAAAAAACTTCATTGTGTTCTTCTTCATTTTTTAAAATGTGAGCTAATTATTGGTTAATTATTTTTGATGACTAGAACCTGTCACATCACATTACCCAAATCCTTGTATTTTTCAACCCTATGCATGTTGAAACTTAAGTATTTCAAACTAGGAATTATGTTGGTTTAAATAATCTTAGTTTGAAATATCAAAGGTTTACACCATCAGATTGTGAACATTTATGAAATACAAAATTTGAGTTCGTGGCAAAAACTCAATTCCTTTATCGAAACTTTTGGAGTAACTAGTCGTGTTTTTCTTTAACAAAAGACCGAGAAGTCTAAATATAAACTGAAATAAGACGACATTTATTCTAAGTAACTATTTCTTTATTCTATTATTGAATATTACATAATTAATCACAACAGTTTTACATATAATCGGAAAATGATTTATTGAAATTATTATAATTGATTTCTAAATATTTAGAGGTCAATGATTATGAACCTTATTCAATCAATTTGAAGGATATATAAATAAACAAAAAAGCTTAGTCGGTTAAAAAAAATATGCATAAATATTGGTCGATATTGTTATAAAATACATTTAAAGAAAACCGGGCGGATATACAATTATTAACTATACAATGGGTAGAAAACCTTTTTGGGGGGGGGGGTTAGAAATTTAAAGTAGGAGGGTCCAATCAGCTGAGCTTAATTCATTTGGTGAAGATGGAAATAAAATTAAAGTGTAAGCAACAAGACTTCTTGTATCTATACTTCCTTTTACGCTGTTTTCTCATCGGTTCCCAGAATATCTTCAGTACTTCCATTTCTTTTTGTTTCTGCTCGTCTCTTCGCCTTCTCTAGGATTGCTATAAATATTAAGCATTGAAGTAAGTTTACACAATTTCAGCTTATCAGTGTCGACTCATATTCACAAAAAAATTAAAATAAGAAAAGAGAATTTTAAAAAATCCTCGAAACTTGTTATCTACCTGGGTATATTTGGTTTGGTTTCTTGAAAGTGTAATTTGACTGTCCAATCTTCCTCCTTCCTCTTTGCCGAACAGTATTTCCAAATCTTTCCTGAGATTTGAACATAAAATATCAAATAATGAATGAAACCATGAGGTAACACATCGATACTGAAATCCCTAATTAGCCATTTAATAAAATATTATCCAGCTGTTTACCTTTGTATTGCACATATCTGTTTACCAGACATATTACCCAGCTGTTTACCTTTGCACAACAAGGATCTGTTTACCAGACATATTATCCAACTGTTTACCTTTGTATTGTAAAGATATGTTTACCAGACATATTACCCAGCTGTTTATCTTTGTTTTGCAAGGATCAGTTTACCAGACATATTACCCAGCTGTTTACCTCTAAATAGCAAGGATCTGTTTGCCAGGCATATTATTCAGCTGCTTACTTCTGAATAGCAAGTATCGGTTACCAGACATATTACCCAGCTTTTTACCTCTGAATAGCAAAGATCTGTTTACCAGACATATTACCCAGCTGTTTACCTTTGAATAGCAAGGATCTGTTTACCAGACAGATTATTCAGCTGTTTACCTCTGAATAGCAAGGATCTGTTTACCAGACATATTACTCAGCTGTTTACCTTTGAATAGCAAGGATCTGTTTACCAGACATATTACTCAACTGTTTACCTTTGAATAACAAGGATCTTTTTATCAGACATATTACCCAGTGTTTACCTTTTTATTGCAAGGATCTGTTTACAAGACATATTACCCAGCTGTTTACCTTTGCATTGCAATGATCTGTTTCCCAGATATATTACCCAGCTGTTTACCTTTGTATAGCAAGGGTCTGTTTACCAGATATATTACCCAGTGTTTACCTTTGTATTGCAAGGATCTGTTTACCAGATATTTTACCCAGCTGTTTACCTTTGTATAATAAGGATCTGTTTACCAGATATATTACCCAGCTATTTACCTTTGTATAGCAAGGATCTGTTTACCAGACATATTACCCAGTGTTTACCTATGTACAGCAAGGATCTATTTACTAGACATATTACTCAGCTGTTTATCTTTGGACAACAAGGATCTGTTTACCAGACATATTACCCAGTGTTTACCTTTGTACAGCAAGGATCTGTTTACCAGACATTTTACCCAGTGTTTACATATGTACAGCAAGGATCTGTTTACCAGACATATTACCCAACTGTTTACCTTTGAATAGCAAGGATCTGTTTACCAGACATATTACCCAGCTGGGACTGCACTTTCTCGCTGAAGCCTTTACCAATCAGCCAGTTCCGGACCTCTCTAAGACAAACAAATTTATAATTAGAGCTTAGGAGTCATGTTTCGAATCACAATTTCTGATTATTATATCATTTGTTCTGACTTTTTTACATTAATGGTTTACATTAATAGTTTACATTAATGGTTTACAAAAATATTTCGGAAAAAAACATACTCATCAAAGTACTATACACTATAAACATACTCATCAATGTACTATACACTATAAAATATACTCATCAATGTACTATACACTATAAACATACTCATCAATGTACTATACACTATAAACACATACTCATCAATGTACTATACACTATAAATATATCCAGGATCATATAAACAATATAATATCAGATAAACCTATCTAGAGGCTAGTCGTTGATCTATAAATATATCAGGGATCATAAACACTATAATACGATCTACCTAGAGGTTGATCGTTAATCTATAAATATATCCAGCATCATATAAACACTATAATAAGCCTATCTAGAGGTTGATCGTTGATCTATAAATATATCAGGGATCATATAAACACTATAATAAACCTATCTAGAGGTTGATCGTTGATCTATAAATATATCAGGGATCATATAAACACTATAATAAACCTTTCTAAAGGTTGATCGTTAATACATAAATATATCCAGGATCATATAAACACTATAATAAACCTATCTAGAGGTTGATCGTTGATCTATAAATATATCAGGGATCATAAACACTATAATATGATCTACCTACAGATTGATCGATGATCAATGAATATATCCGGGATCATATAAACACTATAATAAACCTATCTAGAGGTTGATCGTTGATCTATAAATTTATCCAGGATCATATAAACACTATAATATGATCTACCTACAGGTTGATCGTTGATCAATGAATATATCCGGGATCATAAACACTATAATAAACCTATCTAGAGGTTGATCTTTGATCTTTAACTTTATCCGGGATCATACACTATACTAAACCTACCTAGAGGTTGATCGTTAATCTATAAATATATCCAGGATCATATAAACAATAAAATATGATCTACCTGGAAGTTGATCGTTGATCTATAAATATATCAGGGATCATAGCCATTATAATATGATCTACCTACAGGTTGATCGTTGATCAATGAATGTATCCGGGATCATAAACACTATAATAAACCTATCTAGAGGTTGATCGTTGATCTAAAAATATATCCGGGATCATAAACACTATAATAAACCTACCTAGAGGTTGATCGTTGATCAACAAATATATCCGGGATCATACACTATACTAAACCTACCTAGAGGCTGATCGTTGATCAATGAATATATCCTGGATTATACACTATACTAAACCTACCTAGAGGTTGATCGTTGATCTATAAATATATCCGGGATCATACACTATACTAAACCTACCTAGAGGTTGATCGTTGATTAACAAATATATCCGGGATCATACACTATACTAAACCTACCTAGAGGTTGATCGTTGATCAACAAATATATCCGGGGTAACATAAATATCTAAAGGTTTTATTTTCTCCTCTATTTTATTAAACTTTGTTATTAAACTTTTTTAAACTTTCATCTGTACTCAGACATTTCTTCAACTGTTTTTAAAAATCTAAAAGGGAAAATGATTCTTTTAACTTTAACCAGTCTTTGATCCATAAAATAATTTGTGCGTTCATTTGTCAACCTTATTTTAAAATATGATCCCATGGAAATTATGATATATTAGTAAAATTAGGTTAACAAATGGCTACCGGAAATTATTCGTATTCAAATTCTGCTTATTTGTGATTGTGACCATAAATTTCCCCCCATCCCCTCATCTTGGTTTTCCTATCTAATATTCAAGTTTAATCCCTGAGTAGAATGAGAGAACATGCTTGAGTTCATCTTGCATAGAGAAGGTGGACTGGATGGAGTTGCTCCCTGAATTAAAACAAATTAGGAAAAATAAATAAATGTCGTCATACTTTCTAATTTTCTGGCAATAGTCCCATTAGCATGGGACACAGCACTTGTTCATTGTAAACAGACCCATTTCACCTAACTAGTGATTTATTTTAAACTGATATGAGTATATCTACAGAGTATAGGAAAAAATGAACAAATAAAAATGATACCAATGAATCATAGAAACCCGGAGCTCTCTGACAGACTCTCCACCTTTCATTTGCCTAGAACGACGAGTTAATCTTCCGTCTTCAGACTCTTTGTGAATACTGACTCCATTTCGGTTTTAGTCCAGGCTGATTATATTTTCTCCTTCTAAGCCGTGGATCATGCATATTGGCTTGAATTGAAACTAGGATCTCGAGCAACGGTGGCTTCGGTTTTCCAAGCATTCAAATATGCGTTCAAAGCATGTTTTCTGGTTTGGCATTATCTAACGACAAATATTTCTCCACGTTGGCGACTTATCATCCGCCCCACTTTCTGTCCAACCTATCGCTATTTACAAAAGAGCTAATAAGCTGTCTTGTTTATAGGTCGGACTACTTGCAATCCAAGCTTAGCTCCGGGTCCGTATGAGGACTGAAGAGGTTACATCAATAGAACTATCCCTAGTCTGAGCTATTGAGCTCACACTGGTTACATCTTAGTTCCGGGTTCGTATGAGAACTGAAGGGGTTACACTCCATCAAATTCACTTAAGTATTTCTATTCCACAGTTTTATGGTTATTTCTGTATACATTTAATATGGATATTAAAATACTAAAAGAACTTAACTCTTGTCATCAACTCTAATTTTCAAATTCGTATCTCTTTGCAGCCTGATGATTTCGAAATATAAATGGTCCACAACATCAGGTTGCAAAGATGGATTTGAAAATTAGGACTTGTTGCAAATATTCAGCTCCGTTTTCCAAGAATAAAAATTACTGTTTACTTTGAGGTTTCCTCTGTTTGATCTCTATAGGTCTGATTGAAGGTTGCCTGGCTGGAAGAGGGGGTGGAGGAGGGGGCATGCTTGGAGCTGGGGAGGGGGACCGACCTCTGGGACTTCTATCTGGACTAGAACTAGGTGATCGGGAGGGTATTCTTCTAAACAAAAAATTACATCTATTCTGAAAACATTTGAATTATGTCTAAAAGTAAGAAAAGAATCTGAAATTTTTTTAAATATTTTTTTTTATTTATTAAAATTCATCTTGGTTCAACATTGAATTCATCTAAGATCTTATATAAAGACAGGATAAATTCCAGTTAAGCTACAAAAAAGGAAAAATTTAAATTTTCGGAGTCAACCTAGTTAACCAACCTTTTTTTTTTTGGGGGGGGGAGAGGGGAACCAGTCACCAATATTTGAGTCAAGTATAAAATAAAAATGTTTACCTTCCTATTTTCTCCAGTTTCTCTCTTTGATCTCTAGACCTTCTCTCCTCCTTCTCCCGTTCTGCTTTCTCCTTCTTCTCCTTCTTTTCCTTCTTCTCCTGCATCTCCTTCTCCCAAATCTTCTCCGCTGAGACCAGAGTGGTGAGTAGGGTATACGGAACATAACCAATCTATACACAACAGATTTATCATGATCAAACTTGACAAAGAACGTAAAATTAATTAAAGAAACTTAAAAGAAACTAAAAGTAAAATTAATTAAAGAAACTTAAAAAAAACTGAAAGTAAAATTAATTAAAGAAACTTAAAAAAAACTAAAAGTAAAATTAATTAGAGAAACTTAAAATAAACTGAAAGTAAAATTAATTAAAGAAACTTAAAATAAACTAAACGCATCATATTCAGTAAAAGATCAAATGTCTATCGTGAATGTTGTGCATTATATTGAAGGGTCATTTAAAAATTTCGTTGGTGATCATTTTAAATTTGAAAAAAGTTCACCTTGTTGGATGAGTCTCGACAGCGCCACCATTTTTTATCATTATTTAGAACCTCAAGATATTCTCCTTTTCTAACATTCAATTCCTTACTAAATACAATATTATTAACATATAATTTAACTTTTTTATGGTCTATGAGTATTTCAATAGCCTTACCATGAGTATTTCTATAGTCCAGACAATGAGTATTTAAATAGGCCTTATGCTTATCATGAATATTTCTATAGATCTGACCATTGTCTAAAAAATATCTCATTCATTCTTCCTCAGATAAAAGTTTAAGTGGTATCGTTGTTAATTAGACATGCTACTCTATATATATGTATCTTCACTTGAGTCTGTACCATGAGTATTTATACCTGTTATGACCGTTCCAAGGATGAAGAACAAGTGCTATGAGAGCGTCTCTTTCTAAAAGTTTGTCACGGAAACTTTCAAAATCTTCTTTTTCTTCCTCATCAAATTCTAAACAATTATAAAATAAATATTAGCTATTAAAGTTCACTGCTAAAAACATTGTTTAATAGTTTTTAATTATTTGAAAGTGTGTATTTCTTTAATTGACGGAATTATTAAAAAAAGTACAAAAGTAGATCAAACAACGAACCTTGGAATCTGCCACTGCTAGCATCGCTTCCATAATCGCTACCAACCATTTCGGAATTATTCTGAACAAGCAATATGTTTAATACTTCAAAAAGGGCAAACATTATTTTATGTGAGATCATTTTGAAAAGATTTAGGATTAGAAAGTCTGAGTTTGTGGAAAAGACTCAATTCCTTTTTTTCATAAATTTTCATAAATTATTTTTCTTATTTTCGGAGTTATTTTATTAAATGGCTTGTCTTCTTAAAATGATAGGATTTTTATCCAAACTAAACAAACTAACTCTGGGTAAGTGACTTAACTCAATTTCAGTTTTATAAATGAAAAAAAAATTGTATCATTTTTGGAGCTACAGATCTAAAATATTTAAATAATTGAAAACCTGTCTATAACAAATTTATGTAAAAACATGTTTCACGTCACCACGTGATAATATTTGTCAAAATATTTTGTTTATCTTTAAATTTGTCAGACGTACTTTTTGAAAGTGTCACACACGATCTCAACGATCTCAACTCAGAGATCAAAAATCAAATATGGGAGAGGAAACACCTTGTATATTAGACAAAAATAGCCCATCCGGGATAGGGTTTACAAATGGAGAAAATATCGAATAAAACCATAATTAAGTTATTTTCTACTAACCCTGTTTCTATTTGAATCTGCACTTGTCCTAAATGAGTTCTCTTCTGTTCTGTATCCTTTATCTTCTCTTCTGTATCCTTTATCTTCTATTCTGTATCCTTTATCAAAACAATATTTACAAAGTGAAGCTCTGGACTTAGCATAAGATAATATTATTTTGGATCCTATTAACACTGTGTAAATTAGTAAAAATGAAAGTAGTAAAAAGGATTTAGTATAATAATTTTCGAATTACACGTATACGTCTGTCTTAATTGTTGATAAAAACATGGAATGGTATTTTGCAAGATTAATTCTGCAATACAGATTTTTAGGAAGTTATATTCTGGCTCAAGGAACAATACAGAAAGAAAAAAAACATGAATTCATGTCGAAATTAACAAGTTTTTGTTTTTAAGCGTAAAAGTATTTTTGTTGTTCCAGAGGCCGAATTTAAAGAATTTGAGCCTCGGCTTAAATTTAAGCCAAGGCTCAAATTTGGTTGGCTCCACTAAATATTGTATTTAATTTTTCAAGGATTTAAGCTGGCGCTCAATTGACCCGGTTTTTTAGGGATTTGAGACGCGGCTTAAATTCATTAAATTCGGACACGGTTCTAAATATTTGTTTCCTTGATCCATCCTTCTATCAGTGTAAGGAGGAGGACTACTTGGAGACCGGATTCCATTAGTCGGCGATCTGACTACGCTGGGTTGGGATCGACTGATCGATCTTGATTTCCCATCAACATCGTCTTCTTGGAAATCAATATAACCTATATATATAATGATATGTGTTTTGTTACATAAATATAGTTTGAATTTATCAAATCTTTTGCCGCCTGTCGACCAACAATATCGACTCATGATTATATACCCTCAAAAGGGACGTTATTTTTCTAACGTCCCTTGGGAAAATTAATTATATTAAATATTTTGGAATTAATTAATCATATGCAATTAAATGTTTTGTATTATAAGTAATCGTAAACCAATTCTTATTAAATTTATCAGAACTAATTATGTATCTTTATCAGAACTACATATGTTAATGTATCTTTATCAGAACTAAATATGTATCTTTATCAGAAAAGAATGTATCTTAGTTTATCATTTCGACAACGCGTTATCTAATTTTTTCGTTTCTAAATTAAATGTAATCTTGATACATTATCTATATATAAATGATTTTTTTTGTTATAATATTTTTCAATGCTTTAAACAGTAAAGCTAATTCTCCCCCCCCGCCAAAAAAAAAAATAGCAGAATATAGAATTCAAAAAAGTAAATATAAGTGGCATACACAATGAAACGTACTGCATACACCCATAGAGAATAGAATATATAGAGAGGAATAATGTGAAGTACACCTGCAGTATGGAAACAGTGCAACAAAATGGCCGTTTTACACTTTTTTCAAGTAAATTCCTCTCTATATATTCTATTCTCTATGCATACACCTTAAACGAATATTATCTATAAAGTTCAAACACTCTGTTTAAACAAACAAAATAATCCTTCCGATAATGTTATCATGATATATTGCTCTCTTAGAGAGCTTTAAAGATTACATAGACTTCAAACTGGGATGTGAAATCAATGAGTTTCATGTTAGTTATAAATTAGTCGATATAAATATTTAAGCTGCTGGTATTATGTCCCAGTATAATGCCAGCGCACCTAAAGACCTATGACTGCATGCAGTACGAAGATGAAACATATTTATTTAAACAAATTTTGAGCGAGCAAAATTGTGTTTTTAAGCTTAAATCGTTTAACTGATAAAACATTTCTTTCTAGATTTTCGTCTTTTTAAAGATCGAACTTAAATTTTGTTTTATGAATGTCGGGAATTTACCAAGCTTTCCTTTTATGTAAATTACATTAAGTATAAGAGAGATCTCTAGCGGTTCTTTTATGTACTAACATAATATTAATTTCTACCTGGGGACCAGCCGTCAGAAAACAGGGGTCGATACGGCACAGTACTTCCATCATACTCATTCCTTAAAAATATATTCATAAATACCAAAACATTTAGGTAAATTTGTAAATTCTTGAAGTAAAGTATTTATTTCAAGATAGTATGATATATATATTCTTGATGTAAAGTATGTAAATTTATATAAAGATAGTTTAAAGTATATTCTGAAGTAAAGTATTTAAAGATAATTCTGTATATTTTTTAAGCAAAAACATAAAAAAAACATAGTCTTGTATATATATGATGTAACGTTTATAAAGATAGTTTTGTATATTCTTGATGTAAAGCATACACAGATAGTTTTGTATATTAATGATGTAAAGTATATAAAGATAGTTTGTATATTCTTGATGTAAAGTATATACAGATAGTTTTGTATATTCTTAATGTAAAGCATATAAAGATAGTTTTGTATATTCTTGATGTAAAGTATATACAGATAGTTTTGTATATTCTTGATGTAATGCATATACAGATAGTTTTGTATATTAATGATGTAAAGTATATAAAGAAAGTTTTGTAGATTTTTGAAGCAAAGTATTGCTAGGACCCATGTGTATATATTGTATATCTTGAAAAATTTGATCATAACTAATCTGTAAAGCAACCTGCGCAACACTTTATTGCGTTTGTTTACTCTGAATACCATTTTACACCAAAATTAATAATTTTTTGTTTAAAATATGACACATAAAGTTAAGAATTACCGAGTGGCATTTTTTTACGATGAGTTTGTGTCATCAGGGGCGTACTCAAAAATTTGTCCATGGGAGG